AGCAGAAAAAGAGGCACTTTGGGATATCCCAATCACACAAAAAGCTGAGAGGTAGGAGAACCAGCCAAACCCATTACACAAGCATGGTTGGGGTCCTGTCTATGCTGCAGAAAGTGTGACAAGCTTGTTACAGGAAAACAACCTTACACCAAAATTAGATCACTATGAACAGTGAAACATGCTGTCTGTCATAATGTGTTAACCAGGCTGAGTGACAATACAAACCACATTTAAACCCAACCATGTCACTGACTAGTTACAAACTTGATTAAATGTTGTAGTGTAGCTAAAGTCTCAGTTTCTGCCAGCTGTAAAATGTATAATATTTATGTAGGGTGTTGTGAGGAAGAATTAGTTAATGGGATCAATCCTACAATTCTTCCTCAAGAAAAAAGTCCTGTTGACTTCAGTAAGACTCAATGAGTAATTAATACAGGCTTGAACGCAATACAATGTTTTAAAGACAAAAATATAGTCATGATTCCATGTATCCTATGATTGCAGCTGGAGAATTTGTCACAAACTATATAGTCTGCCACAGAAATCCTAGAATCATAGAACTGGAAGGGACCTTGTGTCCACTGCATTCATGGCAGGACTAAATGTTTTCTAGACCATCCCTGACAGGTGTTTGTCTAACCTACTCTTAAAAATCTCCAATGATGGAGATTCCACAACCTCCCTAGGCAATTATTCCAGTGCTTAACCACCAGTTAAGAAGTTTTTCATAATGTCCAAACTAAACCCCCCTTGCTGCAATGTAAGCCCATTGCTTCTTGTCCTATCCTAAGAGGTTAAGGAGAACAATTTTTCCCCTCCTCCTTGTAACAACCTTTTATGTACTTGAAAACTTTTATCATGTCCCCTCTCTGTCTTCCCTCCTCCAGACTAAACAAACCTTTTTTTTTTTTTCAATCTTCCCTCATTGGTCATGTTTTCTAGACCTTTAATAATTTTTGTTGCTCTTCTGTCTTACTGTCTCCAATTTGGCCACATCTTTCCTGAAACGTGGTGTCTAGAACTGGACACAATACTCCAGTTGAAGTCTAATCAGCACAGAGTAGAACCGAAGAATTATTTTTTGTGTCTTGCTTACAACATTCCTGCTAATACATCCCAGAATGGTTTTTGCTTTTTTTGCAGCAGTGGTATACTGTTGACTCCTATTTCGCTTGTGATCCACTATAACCCCCAGATCCCTTTCTGCAGTACTCCTTCCTAGGCAGTCATTTCCCGTTTTGTATGTGTGCAACTGATTGTTCCTTGTTAAGTGGAGTACTTTGCATTTGCCCTTATTGAATTTTATCCTGTTTACTTCAGACCATTTCTCCGGTTTGTCCAGATCATTTTGAATTTTAATCCTATCCTCCAAAGCATATGCAACCCCTCCCAGCTTGGTATCATCCACAAACTTCATAAGTGTACTCTCTATGCCATTATCTAAATCAGTGGTTCCCAGACTTGTTCCGCTGCTTGTGCCGGGAAAGCCCCTGGCGGGCCAGGCCGGTTTGTTTATCAGCTGCGTCCGCAGGTTTGGCCGATCGCGGCTCCCAGTGGCTGCGGTTCACTGCTCCAGGCCAATGGGAGCTGCTGGAAGTGGAGCGGGCCGAGGGATATACTGGCTGCCACTTCCAGCAGCTCCCATTGGCCTAGAGCAGTGAACCGCAGCCACTGGGAGCTGCGATCGGCCGAACCTGCGGACGCGGCAGGTAAACAAACCGGCCCGGCCCGCCAGGGGCTTTCCCGGCACAAGCGGCGGAACAAGTTTGGGAACCACTGATCTAAATCATTATTGATCTAAATGCGAAGCAAACATGAGAACTTCATTAGAAAAAAAAGTTTCCAGCCTTTATGATTAGGAGAAATAATTCCAAATGTAAGCCAATACTGTGTTGTTTTTTCTGAGTTTGTAGATGGCCTGAAACAATGTTAAACTGCCCCCATTCATTTCAAGAGATGCTCAGCAGCTGACAGGACCAGTCTCAGTATTTGTACAGCAGAACCTCAGAGTTATGAACTGACCAGTCAACCACACACCTCATTTGGAGCTGGAAGTACACAGTCAGTCAGCAGCAAAGACTAAAAACAAAACCACAAACACCCCCAAATACAGTACAGTGCTGTGTTAAATGTAGACTACTAAAAGAATAAAGGGAAAGTTTAAAAAAAGATTTGACAAGGTAAGGAAACTGTTTCTGTGCTTGTTTCGTTTAAATTAAGATGGTTAAAAGCAGCATTTTTCTTCTGCATAGTAAAGTTTCAAAGCTGTATTAAGTCAATGTTCAGTTGTAAACTTTTGAAAAAACAACCATAACGTTTTGTTCAGAGTTACAAACATTTCAGAGTAATGAACAACCTTCAGTCTTGAGGTGTTCATAACTCAGGTTCTACTGTAGTTGATTGCCCTGCCCACCTCCCCACCAACAAAACTTCTTTGTATTATCATAGACAGGTCACAGGCCATGAATTTTTGTTTACTGCCTATGACCTGCCCATGATTTTTACTAAAAATACCTGTGACAAAAACACACTGAATTCCCCACCCTACAACCCTCTGTCACCCCACCTCTGTCTCGCACCCATACTCCCCGTGCCCGCTCCAGACCTCACTCACTCCTTACTGGTTTCAGAGTAGCAGCCGTGTTAGTCTGTATTCGCAAAAAGAAAAGGAGTACTTGTGGCACCTTAGAGACTAACAAATTTATTTGAGCATAAGGTTTCGTGAGCTGTAGCTCACTTCATGAATAGCTCACGAAAGCTTATCCTCAAATAAATTTGTTAGTCTGTAAGGTGCCACAAATACTCCTTTTCTTTTTACCTTCTTACTGACTTCACACCTCTCCCTACCCTCACACTGACTCCCCGCTCCCCTACGTCCCCTCACTGACTCTCTACTCCCCACCTCTCTACACCCCCACACACTGACTCCTCACCCCTTATGTCCACCCACAGACCTCTCTACCCCTTCACTGACTCCCTTCTCCCCACCTCTCTATACCCCCACACACTGACTCCCTTCTCCCCACCTCTCTATACATCCCACACTGACTCCCTGCCCCCCTACGTCCAGGGCCGGTGCAAGGATGTTTCACGCCCTAGGCAAAACTTCCACCTTACACCCACCCAGGAGCCCTGCGGCAGCTTCCCCCCCCTCGGCCCAGGGAGCCGCCGCTCCACTTCTCCCGCCTCCCAGGCTTACGGCGCCAATCAGTTGTTTGGCGCCGCAAGCCTGAGAGGGAGAGAAGCAGAGTGGGGCGGCATGCTCAGAGGAGGAGGTGGAGCAGAGCTGAGTTGGGGCGGGGAACGGTTCCCTTGCACGCTGCCCCCCGTTACGTGCTGCAGGCGGCCCGCCCTGCTGCACCAGCTCACCACCGCTCCACTGCCTCCCTGGAGCGCGCTTTTGGCTACCCCCAACCACTTGGCGCCCAGTGGCCAGTTTGCCTAGTGGTTGCACCAGCCCTGCCTACGTCCACCCACAGTCCTCTCTATCCGCTCACCGACTCCCTGCTCCCCACCTCTCTATACCTCCCCGCCCTCTACGTCCACCCACAGGCCACTCTATCCCCTCACCGACTCCCTGCTTCCCACCTCTCTATACCTCCCCGCCCTCTACGTCCACCCACAGGCCACTCTATCCCCTCACTGACTCCCCGCACCCTCTATACCTCCCCCCCCCTACGTCCACCCACAGGCGTCTCTACCCCCTCACTGACTCCCTGCCCTAACCTCTCTATACCTCCCCGCCCCCTACGTCCACCCACAGGCGTCTCTACCCCTCACTGACTCCCTGCCCTAACCTCTCTATACCTCCCCGCCCTCTACGTCCACCCACAGGCCACTCTATCCCCTCACCGACTCCCTGCTTCCCACCTCTCTATACCTCCCCGCCCTCTACGTCCACCCACAGGCCACTCTATCCCCTCACCGACTCCCTGCTTCCCACCTCTCTATACCTCCCCGCCCTCTACGTCCACCCACAGGCCACTCTATCCCCTCACCGACTCCCTGCTCCCCACCTCTCTATACCTCCCCGCCCTCTACGTCCACCCACAGGCGTCTCTACCCCCTCACTGACTCCCTGCCCTAACCTCTCTATACCTCCCCCGCCCCCTACGTCCACCCACAGGCGTCTCTATCCCCTCACTGACTCCCTGCTCCCCACCTCTCTATACCTCCCCGCCCTCTACGTCCACCCACAGGCGTCTCTACCCCCTCACTGACTCCCTGCTTCCCACCTCTCTATACCTCCCCCCCTCTCGTCCACCCACAGGCCTCTACCCCCTCACTGACTCCCTGCTTCCCACCTCTCTATACCTCCCCGCCCTCTCGTCCACCCACAGGCGCTCTACCCCCTCACTGACTCCCTGCTCCCCACCTCTCTATACCTCCCGCCCTCTCGTCCACCCACAGGCGTCTCTACCCCCTCACTGACTCCCTGCTTCCCTAACCTCTCTATACCTCCCCGCCCTCTACGTCCACCCACAGGCGTCTCTACCCCCTCACTGACTCCCTGCTTCCCACCTCTCTATACCTCCCCGCCCTCTACGTCCACCCACAGGCGTCTCTACCCCCTCACTGACTCCCTGCTCCCCACCTCTCTATACCTCCCCCCCTCTACGTCCACCCACAGGCGTCTCTACCCCCTCACTGACTCCCTGCTTCCCACCTCTCTATCCTCCCCGCCCTCTACGTCCACCCACAGGCGTCTCTACCCCCTCACTGACTCCCTGCCCTAACCTCTCTTACCTCCCCCGCCCTCTACGTCCACCCACAGGCGTCTCTACCCCCTCACTGACTCCCTGCCCTAACCTCTCTATACCTCCCCCGCCCTGCTGCGTCCACCCACAGGCGTCTCTACCCCCTCACTGACTCTCTGCCCTAACCTCTCTATACCTCCCCACCCCCTACGTCCACCCACAAGCCACTCTAGCCCCTCACCGACTCACTAGCCCCCCGCACAAGACTACATTTCCCAGGCTGCCCTGGGGCCGGCGCGGCCCCGTGGTGTTCCCGGCGCTTCTCGTTGCCAGGCTCGGGAGGCCCATTCGGCTGGCTACGGGGTAAGATGGCGGAGGGGGTGCTGAGCCCCGGGGTGAACCTGGAGGCCTTCTCCCAGGCCATCGCCGCTATCCAGGCGCTGCGCTCCAGCGTCACCCGGGTGTTTGACTGCCTGAAGGACGGGATGCGGAACAAGGAGACGCTGGAGGGCCGCGAGAAGAGCTTCGTCTCCTGCTTCCAGGAGAGCCTGCACTCGGTCAGCCGGGACTTGAGGTGCGTGCGGGGCCGGGGGCGGCTGCTCGCCGTGAGGCGCGGGGGCCGGGTTGGGGGGCGGCGGCGGGACCTGAGGGGAAGCGGCGGGCCGGAGAGGCGGTGGGCAGAGGCGTGGAGGAGAAGGGGTGCCCTGCGCTCGGAGCGGAGCTGGGGCCTGGCTTCGGGGAGGGGAGGCCGGGCCGGGTGCACCCAGGTTTGGAAGGGGCACCCCCAGCTGGAACCATCCCGTGAGCCAGCGAGCCCCTGGGGCGCTGCACCGCCCGTGTCACTCCCCTTTCTGGCTGAGGAGCGTCCCTCCATTTTGCGCGGAAAAAGGGGGGAGAGAGATTTTTAAATAGGGAACGTGATTCGACGAGCACAACAAGGCGCGGGGAGGGCTGGCCGTTACCTTTCCCTCCTGTCTTGGGACTGACTTGACTTGAAGTTGAACGTCGACTTAATTTCGTGGAAACAAGCTTATTTAAGGGCGAGGACCAGTTTGATGTGTTATCGGCACAAACGTTTCCCCTGCAGTATTTGAAATAAAATAAAATACCCCCCCTTCCCCCCTCCCCAAAAAAGAAGTCTTAGCACTAAGGACCTCAGAGTGAAATTGAGGGCAAACGAGCCACACTGACAGAACAGAATCTACCTTTTTAGGTTGGGACCATGGAAAAGTAAACAGAGCATAAATAGAAGTAGACTGGATTTTCAGAATTCTTTCCGTTTTAATAGGTGTTAGTAAGTAACTTTGTTTGTGTATAGTGTTTGATTTTAAAGTTAACAGCATCTCTTTTTTAAAAGCTACATTTCAAATTCATCCCGAAGGTTGAGTTTTGATAGGGTGCATCAGAACTGAGAGGTGGTGAGCCCAGTTATCAGTTGTCTGGCTTATTGGGGTAGATTTCTAACAGCTCATCAGCAGGGGATATTATGGTCTCATTGTTTCCTTGTATTCCCCATTTGTCTATTTCCATCTTTTGTCTCTTGTTTTATATTTAGGCCCAGGTTCTCAGGTGTGTTTAAACACCTAACTGACCTAACTTCCATTGGAGTTAATGAGAGTTAGGCACCTAAATATCTTTGGATCTGGGCCTTAGTTTATCAACTCTTTGGGGCAGGGACTGTCTTTTTGTTCTGTTTGTACAGCATCTAGCACCTAAGATTTCCAAAGGGGTCTGCACTTCCATTTGAAGTTTTTTAGGGCTCCACAAATGAAAAAAAGGTAGAACACCACTGACCTAAGTGAAAGAGGAGGAATTTGTGGGGTACACTAGTTTAACAAAAGCAACGAGGAGTACTTGTGACACCTTCGAGACTAACAAATTTATTTGGGCATAAGCTTTCGTAGGCTAAAAGTGGGTTTAGCCCACGAAAGCTTATGCCCAAATAAATTTGTTAGTCTCTAAGGTGCCACAAGTACTCCTTGTTGTTTTTGCTGATACAGACTAACATGGCTACCACTCTGAAACTAAAAGAAAAGGAGTACTTGTGGCACCTTAGAAACGAACCAATTTATTTATTCGTGTAGCTCACGAAAGCTTATGCTCAAATAAATTGGTTAGTCTCTAAGGTGTCACAAGTACTCCTTTTCTTTTTGCGAATACAGACTAACATTGCTGCTACTCTGAGCTCTGAAACTAGTTTAACAATGATGCTAAACTTTGTTTGTAGGATAGGAAGCCATGGAAATTATTTTTCTCCACCAAATCTTATATTTTTATACAAACAACAAAAGTAACTCTCAACGAATGTACATTAATCTAAGTGACTGCTTGTTCTTCTTTTGCCTTTGTGCTCCTATGCATCTGGTATTTTCATTTTAACATAGGACCTGATCCTGCAAAGGGATCGATAGTTATAATAAAGGTATAATAATAATAATAAATATAATACAAGAAAGCTAGCTAAGAGCTACTTGAACAGATCCCTTTGCAAGATCAAGGCCTCAGACTGTAAGCTGTTTTGTCTTTATTTGTTTTGTAAAGTGTAGTGCTGTAAAAGTTATCAATAATCATTTCACTGACTCTAAACATTCAGTAACTTCTCTGTAGACTAGGGAAAATCATATAATTCTGAAACCTAGGGTAACCAAGAACTCAGTCCAGATGAGTGACATTTTATTACTTACTGCCCCCCCATATGAGCTGCTGTGTTGCACTTAAACCAATATGATCATAGTGAGGCTGTGAAGATAACTAGCTTCCTACTTGATTCCTTGTAAACACAAGAAAATTAAAGGTGCAGATAAGATGGAGGACTTTCTCCACTACTTTGCTAAATTTCTATTTTGACAATACTCAGCTGATTTTTTTTTTTCTTCTTCCCCTGGCGCACACACAGAAATTGCACTTTGGTTAGTTCCAAAACTGTGCCACTTTTTTTTTATTAGCCAACCAAATTTGATGACAAAGTGTCTGTGAATAAGTTACTTGAAATATTTTCCTGACTTTCATCTTAGCAAGAGAAGGTATTCTTACCCATTTTTATAAATATCTAATTATTTTTTCTGAAGTTTGCAACATAATTGGATAGATATCATTTTTATTATTTATAGAACAAGCAAAAGTGAGAGAGGTGCTTTAGACACATAATAACATATTTAAATTACTGAATGAAATAAGGATCTGATCAAAAGCCTGTTGAAGTCAATGGACTTTGGATAATGCCATAAAAAGGCAATTTATGTTTAATGTTACTACTGTGAGTAATCCCACTTATTTCAATTTGCCTGCTTTCAGTAGTAAAGCTATCATGTGCCTAAATGTTTGCAGGAATGGAGCCTTAAGGTGGTGTGAGACATGTAAGTCAGAGGGAATGATAGTTAAGGCTACATTTTTGTCATGGGTATTTTTAGTAAAAGTCATGGACAGGTCATGGGCAGTAAACAAAAATTCACGGCCCATGACCTATCTATGACTTTTACTATATACCTGTAACTAAAATTTGGGCTGGGGCCTGAGAGTACTCTGGGCGGGGAGCGGTCCGGGGGCGTTGGGGGAGGTGGCCCAGGACCCCTGCTGATGCTGGGGTGGGGGGAGGGTTGGTGGGGCTGGCAGGCTCCCCTACCCAGCTCCATATGTGCCTGCAGCTCTCATTGGCTGGGAACTGCAGTTCTACCAACCCTTGTCCAAAATATTCTGAATCTTCATGGCATGTTACAAAGCCCATGTATTTACCAAGGTTTTTGGGGAGGGAGAAGTGTTGTTGTTTGGGGGTGGGTCATTTGTGATTTTTCGGTTAATACTGGTGATTAAATGCTTGTCAAACTGCCTTGAGCTTTGGACAAGCATTTTTAAATTTTTATGTCTAAATTGATTTTTTTTTAATTGTGAGATGTGTAAGGACCATATCTTACATGCACACTTGATTGTTCACTCCACACTATCTACAGTTCTTACATAAAAGGTGTTTGTTTTTTTACTTCTAGTGAACTGGAACGTCTGAGCAATCTAGTAGGCAAACCATCTGAGAACCATCCTCTCCATAATAGTGGATTGTTGAGCCTAGATCCTGTACAGGACAAAACTCCTCTCTACAGTCAACTACTTCAGGCCTATAAATGGTCAAACAAGGTAAACAATGTGTATCAAATTGCTAATGAATAGATCTTTTGTAGACTGAAGTAATTAAATAATAGGGTGGGTAGTTGGTGTGCATTGGTATATAATGTGTGGTCCGCTACAAAGGCAGCACCCTTTGTATTTCACATTATCAAGGCTGCAGAACTTATGAAACAGAATTTAAGCTTTAATTTTAAAAAGAATTAAAAAGTTTTTAATTCTTATGTTTTTGAAGATAATATTCCAAATGTGAACTGATGTTGTATCGTCATTGTAATGGAGTGTGGAGGGCCAGGTGGTCAAGTGATTGGAACTGTTGACTGCCAGCTCCTGGCTTCCCTGGTCAGGGTGCTCAGTCTTTAAGTCAGTGGGGCAGGGGGACCTGGGCCCTCCCACTCCACCAGGTCCCAGCCCAGCGCCCTGTGTGAGTCAACCCCTGAGCAGGGGACCTCCCAACGGGGAGTCTGTCTACTGTCCTGGGCTTCTTCCTATTGCTGTCGCTTCAGTTTGTGGAGTGGCCCCTATAATCCAAGTTGCTGTGGTGGCTTCTCTCTAAGTAGCATCCCCTCGTGGACCTTGGGTGCTGTCCTGCTGCAGTCCCAGATTCCTCCGGGCAGGGCAGCCATAAGTTTGGCGGAGCCAGAACCCCACAAGGTCTCTGTGCTTTAGTCACCCAGTTATCTCTTAGGCTGGCTCTCTGAAGTCTTTCAGCCAGGGAGACCGTGCTTATTTTCTGCCTTGGCTGACAAGTTAGTGATCCTTCCCCTCAGGTAGAGAGGCAGCTAGCTCCTGCCTCTCTGCCAGTCAGCCCTGAACTGAACCAGGTTCTCTCCTTTTCTCCTCCCCCACCCCACCCCCGGCCTGGTACTGGCTGCAGGTACAATGGGGCAAGGCTAACTGGGCCCAAAGGCCCTCTTTAACCCCTTCCATGCTGGTGGGCAGATTCTTCACTTCATCAGGGTCATCTGCAGAACTATCCACATTTCTCTTGGTGGGGTGTAACTCTGAAACTTAACGTTGTGTTTTCTATTCAAACTGATGGTCATTTTAGCACAAATATCTTTGTAATAATGCCCTTATTTGTCCTTGGAGGAGGTACCAGACTTTGTGGCAGAAGGCAGTAGGATGCTGAGGTGGAGAACTAGGAGTTTAAGTCCCTTCCAAACCTACTTGCGAGAGAGAAACTGGACATGCATCCCTTTCCCTTTGCCAAAAGCCTCACCTGCCTCCCATGCCTTCCCAAATGCTAAAACTGTCCCGTCTTGCAGCTAAAACCTCCTGCTTCACACCTCCCTGATAATTATTGGTGTGTACCTCTGTACAGTAAATATAAAAATCTGTCGTATATTTACCTCTTCTGGACTGTATAAATTAAATAGCAGAGTAAACCCCACAGTGAAGACTCTGCTGATCATATTGTGACTTTTCATTTTTAATTCAATACAATCTTCTATTTTAATTTACCTGTAGTGCTGCAGAATGTGTAGTCTGATGCAAAACTCAGTATTAGTTTAAAGTGTGATTACCCACCCCGCCTCCCCGAACTGATTTTTTTCTGTTTAAAGTGTAGTTATTGTCAGCAGTTTGACTTTCTTACTTAGCAGACCTGCTCCCTGGGTATAGTCAGAGACATAAAACCCTGTTACTGAGTTTTGTTTTGTTGACAAATTCAAAATGAAACACAAAATCAAGTCCAACCTCTCTCGCCAGGCTTGGGTGCTTCCAGTGGGTTTTTCAATCAAATGTTGCCAACCTGTTGTACATATCTGCTTACTTTACAAAGTTTTTTTTTTTTTTTTTAATAACAAAAATTACTTTGTACCCTTGTGAGGACTCCAGAGCCAGGACAACTAGGGGAGAGTGTGAGGTGGATTTGTGTATGGCGTATGTTCATTACTGGTAAGAGATTCTGCAACTGGAACTTAGCTAATAATTCTGATGATGCGCAAGAAAGAGCAGAATCCATCTCTCTTACACACTTGTATAGGTTTTGTAGAAGTATCAGGAATAAAAATTAGCAAAAATTATTTTGGGCAGTAAAGTAAGCAGATCTGTGTTCCAGCTGTAGATGATTTCTTACTGGTGATGCCTGACCAAGAAAGACTCTCAGATTCCAGGATGAATTTGGAAGGTGACTTTTCATTTGTAAACTGAGCAAATTGATCTAGTGTTAGTAAGACCCACAGAGCCCCACACTATCATTTTTGCAATAGTTTTTCAGAGTGCAAATGCATGTTAACATTTTATAAATTAGGTGGAATTTAGTGCTAATAGATACTTGTCTTTTGGGAGGGGGGATTTTTTTTTTAGTGGAAACATATTATACAGATCTAGTCTATAATAAATAAATATATATATTTTTTGCATTTAACTAGTTATTATCTGCTTGATGCATCTCTAAATATTACCAGCTTCCTTTCCTGAGTTTCTTGTAATCTGCAGTCACCTCCTGCTGTCTTTGCAGCACTTGGCACTGGTATATAGATTACCTTAGTTGCTAACAGCAGATCTGTCACCCGTGTGACAGCTTTAGCCATCCAGTGGCTTTGCCTGTAGCTGCAAAGATTCTAGTGGTGTTCAAGCATGCTGGTGCTTAATTTTTCTTCATTGATAAACATGTGTTATGAATAAAATGTAATTAGCATAACTTTAAAACATGTCTTTGGCCACCTCCTCTCGCTACTGTATGTGTCCCCTGTTTGGAAGGGAAGTTTCAGTAGTGGTAATGTGTGGATGCACTTTTTCTGTCTGCATTTAATTTTTAATTTGTGACCCCTTTGTGGCTTGCTTGTTGTATTTTTGATGAGCTGAGATGAGGGCATTTCCCTCTCCCTTTCTCTTTAGATGGTTCATGCATTACTGATTACATGAATAATCAAATGGTTGTTTGTGGAAGATAAAGAAAGGCGGGGTGTGTGTGTGTGGGGGGGAAATTGCTAGGGTAGGATTCCAAAAGACATTCATAAAGCACAGGGAAAGCAATTGTAGAAGTCTTCTACTGTTGCATGGAGCCATACATACCCATTTAACTTTTAAAACCATGGGAATTCAGGTAGTAGACTAATATCAATAATAAGTGAGTTACTTTTTGGGAGAAAAGAAGTGAAAATACACTATCTTAAGACATTTTAAATGAATAGCTTTGCAATACTTTGTGTATGGGAACGTTTTATTTCATAGAGCTTAACAGAAAATTCTCACTTTATATAAATATTAAAATGGGAAATTAAGGATTCCCTTGACAATTTTAGCTTCATTTTATCCATCAAGTGTGAACGTGTATAACTGTGGTTAATGAATATTATGTGGAGACCCACATTTCAAATGGCGATTAGTGTCTTAAGGCTTTGGCCTGGGGCCACGTATTTAGTTTATACTTAATAGTTGTGGTTTTGCAGAGATTTACCCCAAGAACTTACTTTGTTGTTCCCATGAACCACAAAACCGGTTCCTTCTAGACCTGAACAGCTAAGGTTTGCCTGCTCCAGGGCTACAGAAGATTATAATGAAAGAACTAATTCTTTCCCTAGAGAAGAGTTATCTTGGCTGCTCTTTATTAACACCTGCTATTTTGATATTTACTTATTGTAGTTTTTGCAGATGGTAAAGTTGTACGTGTAATAGAGACAGCTGTGTTCTTTGGGAACACAAAACAGCTTGTTAAACATATTAATTAAACACACATGAATCTGCAAAAGAACTTTACTTTTACAGATGTTGCCTAGCAAAGCTTACAAATTTTAGCTGATATAAACACCGAAAGTTGAAACTGATCATTTATAAGGGAGAAATTAGATGGCTTTTTGTTTGCTTTGGCTAATGACTTGCTGTCATAAATATAAAGGGAAGGGTAAACCCCTTTGAAATCCCTCCTGGCCAGGGGAAAGCTCCTCTCACCTGTAAAGGGTTAAGAAGCTAAAGGTAACCTCGCTGGCACCTGACCAAAATGACCAATGAGGAGACAAGATACTTTCAAAAGCTGGGAGGAGGGAGAGAAACAAAGGGTCTGTGTCTGTCTGTAGTCGTCTTGGCCAGGGACAGAACAGGAATGGAGGCTTAGAACTTTTAGTAAGTAATCTAGCTAGGTATGTGTTAGATTATGATTTCTTTAAATGGCTGAGAAAAGAATTGTGCTGAATAGAATAACTATTTCTGTCTGTATATCTTTTTTGTAACTTAAGGTTTTGCCTAGAGGGGTTCTCTATGTTTTTGAATCTAATTACCCTGTAAGATATCTACCATCCTGATTTTACAGGGGGGATTTCTTTATTTCTATTTACTGCTATTTTTTATTAAAAGTCTTCTTGTAAAAAACTGAATGCTTTTTCATTGTTCTCAGATCCAAGGGTTTGGGTCTGTGGTCACCTATGCAAATTGGTGAGGCTTTTTATCCAACATTTCCCAGGAGAGGGGTGGGTGCAAGTGTTGGGAGGATTGTTCATTGTTCTTAAGATCCAAGGGTCTGGGTCTGTAGTCACCTAGGCAAATTGGTGAGGCTTTTTACCAAACCTTGTCCAGGAAGTGGGGTGCAAGGTTTTGGGAAGTATTTTGGGGGAAAGACGCGTCCAAACAGCTCTTCCCCAGTAACCAGTATTAGTTTGGTGGTGGTAGCGGCCATTCCAAGGATAACGGGTGTAATATTTTGTACCTTGGGGAAGTTTTGACCTAAGCTGGTAAAGATAAGCTTAGGAGGTTTTTCATGCAGGTCCCCACATCTGTACCCTAGAGTTCAGAGTGGGGGAGGAACCTTGACATGGTGGCACAGTGGTGGGATTAACCTGAAATCATTTGAGATCCAGTTGAGATTTTTTGAACTAGAAATACAGATTTTAAAAAGGAAATTTTTTTTTCTTTGGAAAGAAAGTCCAGAAAGCAGCTTTGAAACTGAAAGCAGCTTGGTTTCTCTCTGCTTTGTGGCCAAGCAGAGACAAAAGGGGATTATCTTGTGAATTGCAGGTTTTCTTTGCCTGGAGGCAGGGTACTTAACTCCTGCAGGGAAATTCACAGTCTTC